GTGCTCTAATCATCTGGGCAGTGCCCAAGATACTTAAGTTGACATTCCATGCTAGCCATCACATTCTATCCCTTACTAATTCGATACTCAAGTATTCAACATTCTTAGACTCCTTAGCTAATAGAGAAAGATTCCCAAATTTTCATTCAGTTTTAATTGACTAGGATTGGCTGCATTTACATTGGAATTGAAGTCTAAACTGTCAGATGATCTTAGTTACTCCTGCTTTCTATGCACACACATGCGTGCGTGCACACATTTTTTCTCATTATGTTCATGACAGCAGTGTAGAGTGACCCATTTTTGAGAGTGAAAAGCAAAAACAGGCTTGCCTTTTTTGTAGTTCACATCACTGTACGGTAGTAAAATCAGAACTATTGCCTACAATTCTTGGTTCTAAGCCCAGAGTATATTTTTTAAATTCACACCTATAAAAATTAATTTGGTAATTGAAAGGAGATTAATATTTAAAAGCAAGAAAAAGAATAGGAAATGAGTTGGAGTGCACTACATGTAGGTCTAGGAATGCCTCACCTCACCTGTAAGGACCAAACATATTTTTCTAGTATTTATTAGTACAATTATATTCTCAAAGTATTTATTAATACTATTATATTCTCAGAATAAGTAAATCCTTTAAAAAATTCATTACAGCTCTTAAGACACAAAAATGTGCCACATACTATTGGCTTACGAAAAAAATTCCTTAAAAGACCAAATGTATCCAATTTTCCCTGTTGGAAGCCAAAGTTCCTATAACAATAAAGTTCAGTGACAAGAGATTCTACAAGAACAGCGCCTGGTGAGCATGTATATTTCCTGGATTATGTTTGATGTGGTATACATTTCCCTGGTGATGAAAACAATAGAAAGACCAAGGTGAGCCTGCTAAATGAAATGTGAGCGAGAGCTGGGCAGTTCCGAGTGGCTGCTGGTACAGTGTTAGGTGTCCTGCCAGCGTTCAACCCCACAGGGTCATTTGGCAGTCAGGTGTCATTAGTCAACTCTCTCCCACCCTCCTTCATCCCATCTGTTTTCATCTAGCCTATTTGTGTAAATTACCTCTCAGTATGCAGCAGGGCTCAGTCTAGTCATGTATTTTCCTCCTACTCCTTTGTCCTTTGCATCCCCGACTGCTCATTTAGTCTTATACCAATCATTCCACCCAAAATTTAACATGAGAAGCGAGATAATGGTAGCAATTAATATTATTACCATTGCAAAGTGGCAGCCCTTATGGCTATGGTAAAGAGACCACCACCGATAGCATAATAAATGTCAAAGACAGTTTGCCACTGGCCATTCAAGTCATAATGATTACCATCGGAGAATGAATGCTCTTTCAGAGGACAGAGAGCTTCTGTAATTGTGTGTGGACATTTTGCCAAGTTAATATCCAAAGAGATTCTTGAGAAAGGAGAAAGATAAAATCTGATTTCTCTCGAATTGACCTCATAACTTACTAGCATTTGGAATGCCCGCTACTGTATGATCCCTTCCAATAAAATCAAGTCATCAGCATAACTGTCTCAAGGCTACATGAAGAAAGATTTCAGGATCAGCCTGCACTACACAACCAGTACTCTGTCATACAAAAGCAATTTAGAAGAAATAATTATTATGTGATAGCAGCTGATAGCCAGGGTTTGCTACTTGAGAAGGGATTTAAAACTGGAAGATCTATTTCCTAAGGGCAAATAGGAATAAACCATAGCAAATAATCTTGCCACTGAATTTCCAGCAATGACAAATAGTCACACGGGAGCCGCAGTTTGCGTGTTGACATCTAACTCCAATTTACATGGAATCAGAGGAAAGTCCATCTCAATGAGATTTTTCTACTTTTTATGAATCTGGAACATAAAGCTATTTGACCATAGTTGCTGTATTGTGTTAAGTTTGGTTTTTATATCATATTTGACTAAAGATATTAGCCCATGATTTTTAGGTCACTGGGACCTTGTCATAGATGGACACACAGAGGGATAAGCAGCCCTCAGTTCTTTTGCAGTCTATTTCAAAGCGGGGAAAATGTTGAAAATAATCAAGAATCATCATTTGTTGATTGATTTAACCTCTGAAATCACTGTAAAAATTGGTTGTCTGGTTTAGGTTTAAATTTTTCATTGATAAGTTCTCTGAGGTGGTGGAAATTCCTCGTTTGATAATTCTGGTTCTTTGCCTGAGAAGAATATTAACCATATTCAAAAGATGTTCAGTTTTTTCTCCCTAAAATCCAACTTTAAGCTGCTGTAAGGATTGTAATTATGCAATTACTCGAAGGCATAGGAGCTGTAGGACAAGTGTGTAAGAAAAATGATAAAATAACCTAGCAATTAATATCTACAAACAGGTATTTGAAAATGACTAAAATTTGTAAGGTCTTAGAATCATGTCATAAAATAAAGATTTAATATCTATATATTTTCATTTGTGTAAGGACCAACTCTTTTATGTATGATGAATATTTATTACATATAAATCTATAATATATGTTAAAAATAATATAGTTATATGATAATTTATATCCATCATGGAAACTTTGACTTTAGAAAGCTTTTCTCTCCATTGTTCTTGTTGTAATTTCTTCATGAGGTTTTTTTCTGTTGTTGTTGTTGTTTTCCCAGGTAGGGAACAAAATTGTATCAACTACTTTGTGGATTTCAGTAGTGCGAGAATATCATATGGGTTATGGGATGTAACATGGCTCTTTTTCCCCCAGATTTTCTATAATTACTTTGAACACTGAAATTTTCTTTTAATTAGAACCATAAATTACTATGTCTCATGTTTTTTTTTTCCATAGTTAAAAGCACATCAAACATGCCTAGCTTTTATTTAAATCACAGATTTGTAGTCCTCTTGGTACACCCTCCTTGGGCCCAACCCCAGCCA